TACTATGCCTTCATTGGCACTGTACTTGAACCTTGAATGTTTATTTAAGTACATAAAAGCTGGTCAAATAGCAGTTCACATATGGGAACAAAATAGTTCATAGATGTCTGTCTTTTTAACATTGCATTTAAATTTTATTGATCTATCCAATTCTAAAAACATATGTAATGTAACGGTTTTCTTATTGCCCAAGGTATTGCAATAAAACAAAAAAAAATGCAGAGGTGCAGTGGGCCATTTTATGATATGATTCTTGATATCAAGAAATACACCCAACTGCTAATGATTTTGGATTGGAAAATGTATGGGCCTTGACAAGTTCACACATCCCCAGCAACCTCCAAAATCTGTCCGTATGTGATACCTTATTCTACTTCATTTAATTTGTTTCCTTGAGTATTGAAGACTCAAACCAAATTTGGTATTTTGTTTTTCACAAAGTTTATAGCACACTTATTGAGCAATTGGGGGTTGGTTTTGATTTATTTTGATTTTATTTTTCTTAGTATATATTTTGACTAGAAGTCAATTAGTTTGAGACATTTAAACACAATCCGCTACATTTTCAATTAAATGTATTGCCTCTCCTTTTCTCTGACATCTAGAAAGATGCTGCTGTGTACACTCTACATCAGGAAAGTCAAGAGTAGCCCAGTGGCTTCATCAGATATGGGTGAGGAGCCCTAGTCTAGTTCAAAAATATAAAAATAACTAAAAAATCTAATTTACTTTTTAAATGTTATGTTGCTATTAAATGTTCACATTTTGATACATATTTGCAAATCCACAGGTCAAGTTAGTGTGGTGAAGAGTTTATTGCCATTTCTGCCTATTAATGGAAGACTTTTCATTTGTTCAAATAGTTTGTTACTGTGGAATCATAAAAATAAAATATATTAAGAATTCTACTTGTGACTCATTTAATCTCCCAGAAAGTGGATCAGTACTTGCACATGCAGGTTTATAAAAATGGATGAAACCGAGACACATTAACCTCTTAAGGAACAAAACTTCTGGAATAAAAGGGAATCATGACATGTCACACATGTCATGTGTCCTTAAGGGGTTAAAGGATCTCATGGGCCTAATTATATCTGGAAATTGGGCCTTTTAAAAAGTGATTGCCATATGAATTAATTAACCATATTGTTTAATTATTATTTTTTTTTCATATTTTCCCTCTTCTCATCTTCATGGTTATTCAGGAATGCAAAGTTCATTCATATTGTAACAGCTTCTTAATCCAAGGAGATGTCTGACTGCCATTCTGGGTTTAGGAAGGATTTTTTTTCCTGGTTTGTTGCAAAATTGGAAGGCACGTCAAACTGGGTTTTTCACCTTCTTTTCGATCAACAGCATAAACAGATGGGAGAGACTTAGAAACGTGTCTCTTTTCATGTAACTGTTTATTTTAAAATAAAGGGACACTATAGTCACTGAAACAACTTTAGCTGAATGAAGCAATTATGTGTATATAGATCATGCCCCTTGCACTCTCACTGCTAAATTCTCTGCCATTTAGGAAGTAAATCACTTTGTTTATGCAGCACAAGTTGCATCTCCCTGCACATTACGTACACAGCCTTCCTAAACTCCTTTCTGTAAGGAGTCATCTTATGTTTATACTTCCTTTGTTGCACATTTTGTTAAATTTAGAATTTCTCATCTTTTGCACTGTTTATAGCTTGCCAGACCCTGCAGACGCCTCCTGTATGTAATTAAAGGTCAGTTTATAAACCAGGAGTTAAAAACGTATCTTAAAACAAGTTAACATCTGATAGAAAATGAAACCATTTCTTTTTCATGTACTCTGTATCAGTCACAGCCAGGGGAGGTGTGGCTAGGCCTGCATAAACAGAAGCAAAAGTGATTTAAAAGAACACTCTATTGCTAGTAGTGTACACATTGAAGAATGAAGGGGCAGTTGGCCCTAAATGACAGGCAGCAGCAGGGGGTGCACATAATACCCCTATCCCACAAGAGTAAAATGTATCATTAGTCAGAGTAGGCACCTGCTTTATGGATCAGTTCTAATAGGGGCATTGATTGGCAGGTGCCTACTATACCAATTTAGTGGTGGCCTCTGTGCACTAAACAGCTCTCACACTTTATAGTCCTGCTAAGACTTAGAATCCTTGCAGGGCACCTTGGGACCTGGTAAACTCTGAGCAACATGTGCACAGTGTTATCCCAAGCACATTGTTATCCCAACAGCATTACACTGGACCAATAGGGATGAGACGTCATTGTAGCAAAAGGTAGGAAGAGTGAAAATAACTGGCTCTCATAAGCAAAAAGTCAGGTGTGTGTGTGTATATAAATAAATATGCACACGTGATTGGTTGCATGCTATGACAGACCACCCGGTCACCCATTGATTGTACCAGAATTGTAGCCCTCCACCTTGACCCCCAAAAGAGCCATAATCATTAATTCTGCCCTCCCCAGCCATTAAGCTCCCTTTTTAGAGGTCCTCAGGAGCAGCAAACAGTTGCAGGAAGCCTTCAGAGCCACGGCATGCCTGACTGGGAGCAACCGCTCATCACTCTGGAACTCTGTTTTGGGTTAAAAGTGAGCAAGCGAAAAAACCAAAGTGACTTTTTACAAGAAACTTTGGTATGAACTGGTCAAAAAAAATTATGGCACAATATACACCAGAGCCGATACTGGGCAGATGCGCAAAGCTAGGCTTCGCCCTGGAAGGTTTATTGAAGTCCCATGCAGGAGAAGTACTCAGAGTTCCTGGAAGCTGAACAGACACAGAAAGTGAAGGGGGCTAAAGAGTGCACAGGAGGGAGATAAAGAAGAGTCCAGAAGGTATGGGGAGGAGAGGAAGACTAAAAAAGGTACAGAAGAGGAGGTAAAGAGGGGGTTCAGAAATGGATTGTGGGGAGGGCACACAGATGGTATAGGACAGGCATAGGCAACTTTTGGCACTCCAGATCTTTTGGACTACACCTCCCATGATGCTTTGCCAGCGTTATGGAGGATGTAGTCCACAACATCTAGAGTGCTGATGGTTGACTATCCCTGGTCTAGATGCACAGGGAGAGACAGGGGGGATGGGGTGGGAGAGGACAAAGAGACACACACCTAGTAATAGTATGGTTTTTATTTTGTAAGAAGTCATTCGAATGAACAATCACCTGGGGTGCACCAAAAATATTCTTGCACCCAGATGTCTGTGCCCCTATGATTGTCCCTGACTCCACATTAGATAACCTGGAGTGTCTACTTTCAAACAGTAGGCCCTTGGGGGGGGGGGGTAATCTGAACAAACTGCTATAATGCACCAAAGTGAGACATAAGCATATCAGATCCACCAATCAAAATAATTGTAAAAACTGAAATGGTCATGTCTCTTATACAGCACTGTAGCTTCACAAAATGGTGACAAAGGCATATATTTACTGAACACAATTTAGGGTTTTGTACAGGAGTAGCTCTATTGTAGATTATGCTACCGTGGTGTACCTATTATCTAAATTTTAGTGATGACAGGAGGCTTCCTATTTGCATAACTCTCTTTATTGAAAATCTCCAGCTGCACAGAAACAACTAATCAGAAAAAAGTTAGTTGATACACAAAAGGCTCTGACAGCCTAAGCTGCTCCCCTTTCTTTGGGGCAAACAATTAACCCCTTAAGGACCAAACTTCTGGAATAAAAGGGAATCACGACATGTCACACATGTCATGTGTCCTTAAGGGGTTAAACAGGTAAAAAAAAAAAAAAAATGGTAAACATGGCAATAAAGGTATGTCAAGATTAAATTGTAGAATTCCAAATCCGGAAAGGAAAATGAACGAAGCACATTTGAAAGACGAATCCATCCCTTGAAGAGAAGCAATCACACTGAAAGAAAACGAAAAAAGTGGAAGGCATCTGAATTGAAAAGTTGTCCACATTGCACGAGCACTAGCATTCATTAAAACATGGTATACATGATGTTATGACTAGAAATCAGAACTAATTTAGCAACTTGGCTTAAAAGAACTAAAACACCTTACAAATATATTAGAATAGAAACCAAGAGAAAACAAATATTTAAACAATATATACAACTCGGGAGGTGAGGGAAATATTTGCCTCCTGTCAGTAATAAAAATAAGCTTATAGGTACACTACGTTTGCATAACCTACAATTTTGCCACATGACAGGAGGCTTAATATTTGCATTTTTATGCTAAGGATTAAGCAGAGCAAAGAAAGCATGAGAAACCTGACGGAAATAGAATACCCTGAATGTACTCTCAATCTGCACCATGCATAATGTCGGCAAGGGAAGCTCCTGCTGAAAAGGCCTGTGACGCAGCTGCACCTCTGACCGAATGGGCCCCAAAACAGGATGTAACGAAGGCTGACGATTGAATCCAGCTAATCCATCTGGCCAATGTCGTGGTTGACACAGGGCCATGAGGCTTGACATACAAAATCAGAAGCTGGTCCGCTGAAGAAACTTGGAGGGGAGCTCTGAGTCTTCACCACGCATAGCCAGGGAGCAGCCTGGAAAAACGGGTAAAAAAAAACAAAAAAAACAAGGTAGAATCCAGCTCCGACGAGAAACCGAAAAGGAATCTCCTTCGAGAGTGAAGGAGAAATCGTCCACATCGAACGCCCTGATATCTGCTACGTGACGAAAATAAACGAGACATAACAAAATGGTACGTTTGGCTGATTGTTGCTTAAGAGAAAGGTTTGGATTATCCGGCCAGTCTCTGAGGAAACGCAGCACCACGTCCCATAGATGGGAGTACTTCAGTGCTGAAGGTCTAGACAGCTTTGTGTCCCGCAACAACCGACATACCTGCGGGTATGGGAATGTGCGCTGCCGAAATAGCCGATCGAACCACATTGAGGGATCGGTACGAACGGCTTTGTGAAAAAAAAGATGTGAGAGGGGGGGCGTGGCCTGAAGTCCGACCTGTATGGAAGTGTGAGTCCCGAGCTCCTCGCCACCAAGCTAATATTAGCCGTTTTTTAGCCCCCTAACTCACCCTAATGGGACGCACCAGGAAACCGGAGAGCCAGCAGACCCCCAGGGCAGCACAGCCGGCAACTCCATCGGGACCGATGGACGGCTTTTTACAAACCCCGCCGGGACAGAGCCGCGAGGCGCACAGCTCCAAGATGGCGCCCGTCTCCCCTGCCTCCTCCTGTTCGGAGCCGGAACAGCCTACACTGGCTGATATTGGGGCAGAAATCAGGAGGCTGGCAGCCAACATGGTCACTAAATCAGACCTACAGTCCCTGACCACCACCCTCACGGCATCCCTCACGTCCGCTGTCACTGCACTACGCACAGACATGGAGGCACAGGATGGCCGCATCCAAGCCCTGGAAACCCAGGCCCAAGCCGCCCAACGCCAGGCCTCAGCCGCGGACACAGCCCTGACAAGGCAGGGCAACATGCTACTAGCCCTGCGCAGACAGGTCGAGGACCTAGACAATCGCAGTCGCCGCTCCAACATCAGGGTAAGGGGGATGCCGGAGGGAGAGGAGACGGAGAATGTTGCGGAATTACTGACCGCACTTTTCCGCCAGATTCTGGGGAACCAGGCGCCACCAGACATCCGCTTTGAGCGGGCACATAGGGCCTTGAGACCCAGGAACAGGGATGGGGACCCCCGAGACATTATCTGCTGCCTACACTCATTTCCCCTCAAGGAACGCATAATGCAGCGGGCCAGGACCCGACCCACATGGCGATATCAAGAGGCAGAGGTCTCCTTGTACAATGACCTTTCCCCTACCACATTAGAGGCTAGGCGTGCCCTCAGACCCATCACTACAGCACTAAGGGAACGCAATATCCCATACAAGTGGGGCTTCCCATTCAGCATCCAGGTGAGACATCATAACGAGTGGATTGCGGCACGCTGGCCAGAAGAAATACCGCGCTTTCTCCAAAGGTTAGAACTACCGTCCATAGCAGTCCCGGACTGGATACTGGAACCGCTTGACCGGGAACCCCGACCCCAGAGACAACCTCGGAATCCGCGGAGAGGCCCCAGAGAGAACCGAACACCTGATATACCCCCACACCCGTCCAACCCAGAAGAATAGCCGTACCCCGCTTGATACCTACATCAGCTCGACTACGATCCTGAGACCTAAATATACGAGCTGACATGGATACACAGCTACTCATACCCACTGCCCAGACCCGGAACCCGAGTGCCCTCCTCCCTGGACGGATGGGATAAACGCACCCGATATAACTTACGCAATTTGGGTGGGGAACGGGAGAGACACAGCATACCATTGTCCACAGGGGAGGGGAAAAGTTGGACACTACTCTTGGGGGGCCTGACTAGTCATGCTTATTGGCAGCCTCACTCACCCCCCACCATCTTCCCACAACGTGAGGCTTGCAAGGGAAACACCGCTACTGGACTATCTTCAGTGGTGGGTAGGCAAGTGGAAAACACCGTGGAGGAGTGTTGCAAGGCTAAAGGGATACAACTTGGCCCGCCAAGATGACAACGGGCCTTTACCGTGCCAAAGCAGAAGCCTGTTCCAGCTCCTCACACATTCAAGCCAACGCTGTTTCCATATGATGGAGGACTCATACTCACAGGTTCAAGGGGGGTCGGTAATTGGGTGAGGGTCAAAACATAGGGAGTCTGTGGGGGGAAGTTAAGCTCAAGGACGGAACATATACAAACGTATACACACACATAATGGGTAACACGAAGCTGATAGGGTCTAGGGAGCCGGGACTCTAGACCGGGGAACATGGAATTAGGGGGAGGGGAATGGGGGGACTGTGGGACACTCATATTAGTATCCGGTACCATTAACATATAGGTGCGGGGGAGACAACTGAGCTATTACCCTTCACTCCCCCACATTTAGGCAAAACCACATAAGGACATGTAAGGATGGGATGAGGTGCAGGCACACATGTTAATCGGATGGTGGGGTTCCGCTAATGTACCGAAGTGTGTATATATGTTATATTGAATGGTGGAGTTCCACTAATGTACCCAATTGTATATATGTTATGTTGGATGGAGGGGTTCCGCTAATGTACCCAATTGTATATATATCACATGCTCCATGTGGAAAAGAAGTATACCTTAATGTATGACACGCATTAGAGCTGGACGGCCCTTTACCCCTCTTACAAAGATGTCACTTCTGGGCTATAAGGAAGCAACCCCGCCCTTTCTCCCACCCCACACTCGAGAGCCTCATGATACGCGCAATATGACGAGGCGATACCTTACATACGCTCCCAACCCCATACCCGGATTTGATATACCATAGATACTGGCCTCGGCCATTGCTAATCGCTGGTGTAGGACCATAATACGACCGAACACTCACCCACTCGGATACACAACACTGTGTGACCCCCCCGACCAACATCGCACAGCTCCACAACCCAAAACTGACCCACGTTACCCTGGGAGACGGGGGCACACTTTTGAGACATGCTAGAACGAGACATGGATCCCTGCCTCCACACCATAGCCCTTTGTAGACTGCATATGGCGATAATATTGATTGCGGCTGGCAACCCAAGCTATACTAAGACGGGCAAAGACGACATTCAAACACTTTCAAAGAGGTGGCACACCTGTTAGGTAACCTCGGACTCCTGTATCTAATACAACCTATAGAAGACACATCCTAACACATATAAAACGCAAGGACACAAACACTAACCCCCGACAAGTTCGCGTGAACAAACCCACTCCACGGGGAATTGGCAGTTGGAAGCCGTGAGACTTTGTCTGACAGGCCCAGCTGCCGACTGCTGCCGTGGTCACGCGAACCAACCCTCCTTGGAGGGACTCTTGACACCTATCCGTAGGTGCTGGTATCACCTCCCTCTGGAGGTGGAGAACTCATCTTCTCTTTCATACCCCAGCTTGTCCCTACGGGCAGGCAGGGGCTTATCTGTACCCCACGTCTACTCCACTTTACTTTCCTGCCTCACCTCATCCACTCCTCTGACCCAACCCCTCAGCCTCCCCCCCACCCTTACTCCCCCCCTCCCATTGTCACAGCAATTGCGGACACACCACGGAGAGGGGATACTCGTGGGCAATAGACTTCTTTTTGAAGTACCAACAAACCGCTAAAGTCCATAGTGACCCACTCACGATCAACATAAATGGCTTACGAACCAGATCCTTTACGCATTACGACCATGAATTGCCGGGGCCTCAATATTCCGGAGCGTAGGTCACAGCTCATACGGGATCTATCCTCTAGACACATATCCGTTGCCTTCCTCCAGGAAACGCATTTTAAGGAAGGAAATGCCCCGATGCTGAAAGGCAAACACTACCCCAACGCGCTCTGTAGTAACCACCCGACCGCCCGCAAGGCAGGGGTGGCGATCCTCCTCCATGCTAAGCTACAGTTCCAAGAAAATGACCGAATGTCCGACCCTAATGGCAGATATATATTCCTCAAAGGAGATATACAAGACCGTAGGTACACATTCGCGACGATCTATGTGCCAAATAATAATCAATCGCACTATATCCGCAAAACCCTTCTCAAACTTTCCTCATTCACGGAGGGCACACTGATCTTAGGTGGAGACCTTAACGTACCCCTCATCCCCCTAACGGACTCATCCACTGGACACAGCAGCGTTGCCCAGGGAGCCCTCCGCAGCATACAGAAGTCACTTAAGAACCTTCGACTAGTAGACTGCTGGCGCGCTATGCACCCAGCGGACAGGGAGTACACCCATTACTCCAGGATACATAGGCGATATGCGAGAATTGACTATATCTTCCTCCAACAAGAGCAACTTAACGCAATTCAGAGAGTTGAAATTGGACCTGCAAGCTGGTCGGACCACGGACCGGTGACTCTACAAATGGACTCTCCTCGGATACGCCCATCCACCTGGACGTGGAGGCTCCGAGATTCTCTACTCTTAGACCCAGCGGTGAGGGAACGGGTTGTGGTGTATCACCAAATTAATATATATATTACACAAGGTTCGTCTACATTAAAAGGTATTTATTAAAAGGCAACAACACAATATTATAAATGTATCACAAACACACAGCCCAGACCCACGGAGCAACAACCCTTTTTAAATCTATCTATCTATATAGTAATCCCCTTCCCCACACGCTTGATCTCACCCACGGTTAGGCCTTCACATCTAGTAATGGCTCACTGCTACAAGTTCAACATTACATCCACCAAGGAAGAAAAGGAAGCAACAGAGAGTAACATGGTTCACCATGCTAGCACATGGCGTCTGCACATCTGCTCTGCAGCACAGCCAAGAAGGAACAGAGAGGAATGGAGAAAGGGGAAGTGGTTATCTCTTTCCTGACTTGTAAAGGTATTGAATTACCAATTAACATTTCAAAAGGGTAAAGCTTATCCCACTGTAAGAAAAGCAAACATGAGCTTGGTCACATGACCCCTGGTCACCATATTAGTTTGATGACAGAATGTCACCACATTCCCTCACTTTTTCTTCTCTTATGTTGAGCACATTTAAAAATAATAATTTATCCCTTCTATCTAAACTATGAGATCTGAAGTAGGAAAGGGGAGCACAGGAATTATAGTGAGTGATATAAGAAGGGGGAAAGAAAACAGTCAAATAGGGGTTGGATCACCCCACATTCCCCCACTTTTTCTTCTTTTATGTTGCTCCGTTATCTAGTTATCCCTCTAGTACAGGAAAACCTAGTGGGAGCAAAAACCTGATATACAGGAGAAATTCAACCCACCGTCCCTCCGGAATAGTTCCCTCAGCGACATAAGTTCTCCTGTACTTTCCTATGGCTGTCAATTCACATGTTATACAAAGTGTCACAAAAAAACAGAACTTATAGAATGTAGGTGAGAGTGTGTGTGTGCAATGTAAAACTTTATTGAAGAATGTGTGAGAGAGAGAGAAAGAGAGAGAGAGAGAGAGAGAGAGAGAGAGAGAAACAAAAAAGAAACAAACAAACAAAAAAAAATATCCCCCTTTTCAAGTTTCTTCCTCATCTATTTCATTGCCACACAAAAGTATACTAGCGGCAAAGTTTGTAGGACTGGATGTGGTATTTGCAGAATTCCATACTTTCAATCCAGTTCCGACTCCTCCCAGTAGAGCTGTAAATTGTCCCATTTTTCCTGACACCCTGCTTTGCCTAAAACACTGTCGCCGTTGTTCTGGACACCTTGGAGGAATAGAAGGATTATTAAAATATAGACTGTAAACTTTTCCCTTATTTGGAGTATCTTCTGGCCGTATTGCCTGTCTCCCATCCCTACTGTGATACAGCGTATACTTATCCATCCTGTAACAAGGATCCACTACGATCTTCTGTTGACACACATCATCATCCTAATACAGCTTTGCCTTGCTCTGTGGGAACACTAGATCTCATCATTAGAAAGGAATAGCTAAATGGGAGACTGGAAGACTGAGAGAACAAAACAAAAGAAAAACAGACATACATACGGATGTAGAGAGCAACACAAAATTATGAGTGTTATTGATTGCTGGGACCCCCCAATTGGTCAATATTTTCCTCCTCTCTCAACTGTTCCCTCAGCGCTTTCACGTCTGCCTCCAATCTTTCAGTCTGTCTCTTTAGGTCCCAGTAATCTCTATTCCCTTCTTTATTCCTCCAATTATCCCAATTCCGTCTATTGGTCTGATGATCATCCCATCTATGGTTCCTTCTCCAATTATTCTCCCAATAACTGTTCCTGTTGTTTCTCTGTTTTTCTCCCCAATTGTGATTTTCCCAGTTAATATCTGTCCTTTTTAGCCTCTCCCAGGTATTTTTATTATTCCAATTATTATTGATTACCTTAGGCCCCTCCCATCTATTCCTCCAGTTATCTCCCATTACATTACTTCCTTTAGAACTGTCCCTATTCCTATGGTCCCTCTGTGGATCTCTCCATCTTTTGTCAAAGTCCTGTTTTGGTCTCCAGTTCTCATTATCCCTCTTGCTCTGGGGTACATCCCACCTCTGGCTTCTCCATTTACCATCTAAATCTCTACCAGAGTCAACCTTGAATGTTCTTGTGGATGAAACAGGGAAGGCCTGTTCTGAGAAAGGATGCTTGATCCACCAATTGTCCGCTCTAGTTAGTACCATTTCTAAGTCTGCTGGTGTTGGATCAAAAAGCCTGACAAATTCTTGACACTCCCAGGGAAGGGCTTCCATTACTTTAGTAATATGTTGTGGTGAGCCCAAGACCAGAGGCTGTTGAGGTTGGCGTAGTGTATACCAGAACAATATCCTTTGAGCTACCTCTCTAGGACCATCTGCTGGCCTCATCGTAATATTCGCTATTTCTTTCTCTATGCTGAGTAGATAGAAATTAGTTTCAGCAATTCTTCCTGCCTGATCAGACACACTGTTATTAAATCCACATAGTCTGCTAGCCAAAGGACCCATAGCATATTCTAAAAGTTCTGTCCATTCCTCTAAGTTTAAACCTCCTTTTTTAGCTCTATTTGCTCCCCTCATAAACCAGTGTGTAAAAGTATTAAAGTTGTTATTTGGCATACTTCCCCACCATTTCTGGAAATTTTCTTTGTCTGTGATTGACATAGTGCTTGTCTGTCTAGAGAAACTAGTAGGCATTTCTCTTGCATTAAAGTGTTCAGTTATTATTAAAGGGGCTTGTGGGACACAGTTAACAACCGGCGCATTTCCCTTGTGTTTGGTTCCGAGCACTGGTTCTGTACCTTTACATATAAAATGAGACTGACCTGGGCATACTTTAGGAATCTCCTTATCCCATTTATTTATGTTTTCTTTAGTTTTCATTTTATATGCCATAACTAGGTTTTGGAGTTCAGTGATCTTAGCACTATATTCATCTCTCTGTTGTTCTGTTTCCTTTAATTCCTTCTCCAACCCCTCGATCATTTTGTTTGTTCTTAGGGCAGCTATTTTAAAACAATCTCTTTCATCAAGAGCATCTTCCATTTTATTAGTGGTTACTAAATTAGCTTGCTGCAATTCGAGTACCATGCTTGCCAAACCCCCTATTGCAGCAACAACCGCTTGTGCCACCAAGCTTTTCCTTTTCTTAATATGGCACTTTTTATTAGTAACAATCTGTGTCAAAACATCCATGAAACATTCATATTTTCCACAATTGGGGCCTGCTGGTTCTGGAAGCTCATATGGTCCATCATGTTTGTCAATGTCATTCCTAAAGTACTCTAGTACTTCTGCAGAAAAATACTTAGTACCTAGATATGACATTTTAAAACCGAGCTCTCCCTAGGTCTTTAATCGAAATAGACCAGCAGACTAAGGGAAAAAAACAACAACATGCTTTTAACAATGGGATTAATTTAAAAAAACCTGAAACTGGCTCCAAAGAGATTGAACCATTTGAGAAACTTAATTACATTAACCTATTCAAACAAACTCTTGTCTTTTAAGAAAAAAACTTCACAGTCTCAATACAACAAATGCCCACAGGCAGCAAAACACAAAACCACCCTTCTGTCTTTGTTTAAGTGCAGTATGGGGGGTCTACAAATAAACAGAATGATTTAAAGGAAGGTATGGGAACTGGAAAATACCTGACTGTAACTTCAGCACAATGATAATTCCCAACCATATAACAATCTAACATAGGCACCTTTACCTCAAATACAAACTGTTCATTTTCTATTAAACACACTCCAGTGTAAAAATGTAGCCTGGCTAAACAATAGCCACCACACTGTATTAGCCCCATTACCTTTATCATGTAAACACAATGCTCCTACCCAGAATTCAATGGTTCAAACAGACAAAAGATAATCCCCCAAAAAAACAGTTTGCTATTTAAACTTAGAATGCAGGGAAGCCACAAAATGTATAAAATGTAACATCTAAAAACAATTACAATATATTCAGTTTAGTTCTAGTTAGTTGCAACAGGAAAGAGACAATACAGCACATGGGCTATTAAAAATGGCCGAAACATCAATAGTACCAATGCAGTGCAACTATTCAATCTTCCCCTTTAATCACCAATACTTTAAAAATACTAGGCCTGAGCTATGGTAGTCAAAACACAACAAACTCAGGTATTTGAAACACACAAAAAAACTAATATATTCAAAATTGAGGCCTGATGCCCAAGCTTGTAAATTAAAATGGAGGTCTGCACTAGGATACAAAGGAATCAAATTAGCATTCAAATACAAAAAGAAGCCGCATGGAAGCCTACTCTAGTGTATTCAAATGCAGGGCTAGGCCTGTACTCTGATAGTCAAAGCACAACAAAACTCAACTCAGATATTTGAAACACACAAAAAAACTAATATATTCAAAATTGAGGCCTGATGCCCAAGCTTGTATATTAAAATGGAGGCCCAAACTAGACTCCACACACAATCAGTCCCTGATTTCCCATGCAGAGGATAATTAAACAAAGTACTTTTTTCTTTCTCTCCCAAAAAATAAATCTGACTATCTATTACTGTGTTATTACCTCATAAATAACCTTTGTAGAAGTCTAATATTCGTGGTCGCCAAATGTGGTGTATCACCAAATTAATATATATATTACACAAGGTTCGTCTACATTAAAAGGTATTTATTAAAAGGCAACAACACAATATTATAAATGTATCACAAACACACAGCCCAGACCCACGGAGCAACAACCCTTTTTAAATCTATCTATCTATATAGTAATCCCCTTCCCCACACGCTTGATCTCACCCACGGTTAGGCCTTCACATCTAGTAATGGCTCACTGCTACAAGTTCAACATTACATCCACCAAGGAAGAAAAGGAAGCAACAGAGAGTAACATGGTTCACCATGCTAGCACATGGCGTCTGCACATCTGCTCTGCAGCACAGCCAAGAAGGAACAGAGAGGAATGGAGAAAGGGGGAAGTGGTTATCTCTTTCCTGACTTGTAAAGGTATTGAATTACCAATTAACATTTCAAAAGGGTAAAGCTTATCCCACTGTAAGAAAAGCAAACATGAGCTTGGTCACATGACCCCTGGTCACCATATTAGTTTGATGACAGAATGTCACCACACGGGTCACTGAGGAACTCACGTCTTACTTCACACTAAACGCAACGGATGAACTACCGGCGACAACAGTATGGGAAGCCCACAAATGTGTACTCAGGGGCACACTAATGCACTTAGCCTCTAAAAAAAAAAAAAAAGATGTGAGAGATAGTTAAGGATCATTGGGATAGGTGCAGTAAAGGGATCGGAGTTCCTCTCCAGACAATAATTACTCCAGGCAGACCATGTGGAGATACAGCATTTCCTGGTGCCGGGAGCCCATGAATCCCATAGAAGGTCCTTAGCCGATTGTGATGGACTGACCAGGATCCCCGGGAGATTGTCCAGGCTACTATGTCTAGCATCTGTTCTAGTACGAAGGGGTGGGGTTCCCCCCGTGGTCCTGTCAGAAGTAGAGGGAATAATGACAACAGAAGCAGGTGATTGTGAGACATCTCCAATAGATGCAGAAACCATGCTTGACTCTGCCAAAGTGGAGCTATGAGGAGGAGAGATACTTTGTGGGTATATGTGTGATGGAGCACCCTTGCTAGCATGGAGAATGGAGGGAATGCATATGCTCCGTGTTTCTGCCATGATTGGAGGAATGCGTCCACGGCTGTGCAGTTTGGATCTGGAAGCCAGCTGTAGTAATTCGGAAGCTGGTGATTGGTCCAGGGAGAAAACAGATCTAGATGTAACAGATTCTTTAGTTAGTTCAATTCCTGAAAGACCAATACGTTAAGCTTCCAATCGCTGTTGTCCTGCCAGTGACGGGAGAACCAATCTGCCGTCAGGTTGGTAATTCCCGGCAGATATTTCGCCCGTAGTGTGATGTTTTGAGAGAGGCAAAACCTGTAAATGTCTTTTGTGGCCTCTGTGACAGCCTGGGATATGGCTCTGCCCAGGCGGTTGATATACGGCACTGCTCGGATATTGTCTATGTGGAGTAGGTTGCAACAATTTGACTTGTCTTTGGCCAAGCTGCGGATGGTGAAGAACCCCGCAATCAACTCCAGGCAATTGATGTGAAGGTCGGTCTCTTCGTCCTGCCAGGATCCTCTTGTAAAAGAGTCTGCACTAGGGATGTGCATGGGGAAAATTTTCGGTTCGGTTCGGTTCGGA